ACTACCTAGGTTCAAATCCTGATTCCACCACTTCCTACCTGTATGGCAATGGGCTACTTACAGAACCTTTCCAGTCTAGGTTTTCTAGTCTAAATAAGAACAGCCTTAAGAAACAAGTTCTTGTATTACCTAAACGTAATACTTCCTAGGGTTACTGTGAGGACTAAATGAGTTAATACATGGAAAACACATGGATACACCGTCAGTATAATGTAAGACTCTATCTGTAATGACACAGAGAGCATGGATAGGTGCCATCAATAGACACCACAGACTCCTGCTCATGTCTTTAAACATTTACACACACAACACACACACACACATACACACACACACACATGTATGAATATGCAATATATTACCAATCTGTGCATGTTTTTAAAAGCTGGAAAGTAAACTGTTAACATGGTTCTGATAGAGGGAGGAAGAGGCTGATACACACCTGGAGGAAGATGTAGGTACCTGGCTCTCTCCACATCAACTTCCACAGCAAGTACACGGCCTGGAATACAACTTTCAGTCCGTACTGCAAAACTCGGGGCCCAACTGCAAGTCAGAAAACACCTGTGACTACCAAAGGAGCTTCTGGGAATCTGCAAGAGTTTTTTTTTCTTTTTTTTGAGACAGAGTCTTGCTCTGTAGACCAGGCTGGAGTACAATTGCATGATCTCAGCTCACTGCAACCTCCGCCTGCCAGGTTCAAACGATTTTCCTGACTCAGCCTACCGAGTAGCTGGGATTACAGGCACCCGCCACTACACCTGGCTAAGTTTTGTATTTTTAGTAGAGACAGGGTTTCATCATGTTAAGCTGGTCTCGAACTCCTGACCTCAGGTGATCCACCTGCCTCAGCCTCCCTAAGTGGTGAGATTACAGGAGTGAGCCACCATGCCTGGCCTCTGCAAGACTTTTCAAACAAACACCCCCCACCCCCAACCCATGGATTTGCAAGAATCTGGAGTTGACTGCACCCTACCTGCAAGACACTGAAGTTCTGTCAACTCCACAATCTGAATTCTGTTGTTCTGCAAGAGCTCATCATGGGGTTTGGAGTCTGAAAAGGAGAATGATCCCTTTAATGTACCAGAAGCAGCAATCTAAAGTCTGATAATCTCCCAGCTCAGGCTGAATCATTTTGGAAAATAAGATTTTTCAAAACCTCTCTCTGTTCCTCACTAGCCAGAACTGAGAATGTGGCCAATTCTTGTTCAGATTCCTCTAGAAAGCTCACAGAGAGAGGGCATGAATCTTACCGACCTTCACTTAACACAATGCCTGGCACACAGCAGGTGCTCAATTAAACTAGATTCTCTGGATGGTGGACTTTTCCGACCACAGGGAGATCCCTAGGAAGTCCCACTCTACCCCATCACCCTGGGATAGCAGACTCTTTAAACGGGGATCAAAGGCAACAAATGCTGTACCCACTTCTCCCTGAGATGGGTTGAGCTACCCTCTCAAGATACCGACGTGGACAATAATGAAGGGGCAGACATCCCTGCCCTGCACACTGTGGGGAAAGCTGGACATGAAGCTCTGCATAGAGGGACGAGGAATGAGAGAGATATGCTGCTCGTCAGCTCAGACAAAGCCTGACAAGGGCAGCTGCACACGGCCACAGCTACCAGCACTGGCCCTGGAGTCCCATGCACCGGGGTTCCACTTGCTAGAATTAAGTGAGACCACGCAATGGATTCACTTAACACAGTCCTGACACGTGGCAAGATTAATGCCGACTGTACCTAAAGACCCGCCCAGGAAAGGCTGGGTAAAACCCGCTCGTCCAATCCCGGAGAGCTGCCCAAAGGCGGCGACAAAAGGAGCACTTCCGCCTCGACTCCCCGGGGCGGTTGGAGCCGAGGGTCAAAGGCTGAGCATCCTCCCTCCCAGACCCTTGGGCACTCACTGCAGAACCCCAGGAGGGTCACCGAGAAGCCGTGCTTGGCCAACGACAGCACGTGGTACTGCATGCGGGGGCTGCGGCCCACGTCGCCCAGCACCACGGCCACTACGTGCTGGGACGCGCGCCCCCGCCGCCAGCGCTTCCATCCTCCCAGCAGCAGCACCGGCAGCAGCAGACACAGCGCCAGCAGAACGAAGCAGGACGCCGCCATTTTGGCGGGGCCGCAGCAGTCACGTGACCTCGCTTCCGCTGGCGGGCGCGCTCGGTGTGCGCAGTCGCAGACCAAGTGTCCGAAGTGGGCCGAGAAAAGGCGGGATGGGGACGTGGTTCTCTAAGAGGGGTCCGGGGAACCCCGGGGAGCCCCTCGGGTCCAAGAACTAGTAGTAGTAGGACACACGTACTTACACCAGATTCCTTACACACCAGTGTATTTCCCCGACTAAAGTAAAGCTGTTACTGTATTGGGATGTAAGAACTCTACAGGGCTCTAAAATAATTTCAAAATATGGTGAGACAAGAATTTGGGTGACTCTCATCCTAACACTGAGGAAGGAGCCAGACGCTGACATACAAACTGTAGAGTTACGTCTATGTAAATAAAAGCCAGTCCTTGCTGTTAGAAGTCAGGGGCTGGTAACGTGGGTGCGCTGCATTTGGGGCGGCACCTCAAGCAGCATCGTACCTGCCCATTTTCCAGGGTGTACATCACACTTAATAAAACATTTAAAAGGTAGAGAGGGGATGCTTATAATCCCTGCACTTTGGGAGGCTGAGGCGGGCAGATCACTTGAGCTCAGGAGTTCGAGACCAGCCTGGCCAACATGATGAAACCCCTTCTATACTAAAAATAAAAAATTAGCCAGTGTGGTGGCACGTGCCTCTAGTCCCAGCTACTTGGGGGGCTGAGGCAGGAGAATCGCTTGAACCTGGGAGGTGGAGGTTGCAGTGAGCAGATATCACGCCACTGCACTCCAGCCTGGGCGACAGAGTGAGATTCCATCTCAAAAACAAACACAAAAAGGTAGAGAAGGGAAAGGACAAACAAGGAAGTAAACACCATCATGATTTTGCTTAAGTATCCATGGCTAGAAGGAAAATTTCCCCAATGACCCTCCAATTTCACCTCCCAAAGTAGCCATAGTAAGAGTTTAATGAGTGTCTTTGTGACAGCCTGTTGTTAGTCCATTTTCATGCTGCTGATAAAGACATGCCCAAGACTGGGCAATTTACAAGAGAAAGAGGTTTAATAGACTTACAGGTGCACATGGCTGGGGAGGCCTCACCATCATGGCAGAAGGCAAAGAGGAGCAAGTCCCCTCTTATATAGATGGCAGCAGGCAAAAAGAGAGCTTGTGCAGGAAAACTTCTTGTACAACAATCAGGTCTTGGGAGCCTGATTCACTATCATGAGAATGGCACAGGAAAGACCTGACCCCATGACTGAGTTACCTCCTACTGGGTCCCTCCTACAACACATGGGAATTCAAGATGAGATTTGGGTGGGGACACAGCCAAATCATATCACAGCCCTTTCTCTTTGAAAGCAGTCCCTTGCAGAGCAACACCAAGAGCTCACTGGGGATGATACCCCATTGCCCCTATTTAGGAGCTGCCCCAGAATCTGCAGAGCCACCACCCACCACATTCAACAAACAGACAAGACAGCAGCTCCTCCCTTGTTGAGGACCACAGGCAGCACCCAAAGGGCAGGGTAGCCGGTGGGGATGTGGCTCCCCAGTGTCCCTGGGCTCAGCTCAGGGCTCGGCGCACTTTTTTTTTTTGCAAACTTCTTTTTTCTTTTTTTTTTGAGACACAGTGTCACTCTGTCGCCCAGGCTGGAGTGCAGCTCACTGCAACCTCTGCCTTCCAGGTTCAAGTGATTCTCCTGCCTTGGCCTCCCTAGTAGCTGGGATTACAGGCTTGCATCACCACGCCTGACTAATTTTTGTATTCTTAGTAGAGACCGGGTTTCACCATGTTGGCCAGGCTGGTCTCAAACTCCTATCCTCAAGTGATCCTCACAAAGTACTGATATTACAGACGTGAGCCACTGTGCCCTGCTGCAGGTGTCGATTTTTTTTTTTCTTGAGACAGACTCTCGCTCTGTCTCCCAGGCTGGAGTGCAGTGGCACGATCTTGGTTCTCTGTAACCTCCACCTCCTGGGTTCAAGTGATTCTCCTGCCTCAGCCTCCCAAGTAGCTGGAATTACAGGCATGTGCCACCATGCCCAGATAAATTTTGTATTATCAGTAGAGATGGGGTGTCACTATGTTGGCCAGGCTGGTCAACGCAGATGTGCCCTCAAATGAGTTTGCTTCAAATTTATTTAAAACAAAGGCTGGGTGTGGTGGCTCATGCCTGTAATCCCAGCACTTTGGGAGCCTGAGGAGGGTGGATCACTTGAGCCCAGGAGTTCAAGACCAGCCTGGGCAACATAGTGAAACCCTATCTCTATAAAAAATACAAAAATTGGCTTGGCGCAGTGGCTCACACCTGCAATCCCAGCACTTTGGGAGGCCGAGGCAGGCAGATCACGAGGTCAGGAGTTTGAGACCATCCTAGCCAACATGGTGAAACCTCATCTCTACTGAAAACACAAACATTAGCCAAGCGTGGTGGTGGGTGCCTGTAATCCCAGCTATTCAGGAGGCTGAGGCAAGAGAATTGCTTGAACCCGGGAGGCAGATGTTGCAGTGAGCCAAGACCTCACCATTGCACTCCAGCCGGGGGCAACAGAGCGAAACTCCATCTCAAAAAAAAAAAAAAAAATACAAAAATTAGCCACGCATGGTGGCACATGCCTGTAGTCCCAGCTATTCAGGAGGCTGAGGCAGGAAGATCTATTAAGCCCATGAGATCAAGGCTGCAGTGAGCTGTAATTAAACCACTGCACTCCAGCCTGGGCAAGAGAATGAGACCCTATTTCAAAAAACAAAGAAAGAAAAAAGTTTTTTTGCTTTCAGAGCTTTTGGATTTTTGGGTTGAATTGTAATTGCTAGATCAAAGATCTAGCCTGTGAGCCTAGGGAATCAGGGCCAAGAAGGACAGAGTGGGCACCCCTCTCCCCAGCATAACAGGGACAGCAGGCTCGACGCCCGGGACTGGCCTACCCGCCGCTGCCTCACCGTCATCCCCCTGCAGCCAGCCTTCCCAGATCCCTTTGAACCGGCCACCCCAGGCTTCTTGGCAGCCCTGCCGGGCCACTTGTCTTCAGGTCTGCCAGAGGAGGTGGGGAGGAGGCGGAGGAGATCGTGCAGAGGCGGTCTGGGCTGGGCCAGAGCTTGGGGTGCTGAGCCTGTGACCAGCTGTGAGCAGAACCCAGCCATGGCCAGCCCGGGGCTGCTGCTCCTGCTCTCACTGACGGCCCTGCCACCGCTGTGGTCCTCCTCACTGCCGGGACTAGACACTGCCGAAGCTAAGGCCACCATCGCGGGCCTGATCTTGTCTGCGCTGGAGAGAGCCACCGTCTTCCTAGAGCAGAGGCTGTCCCAAATCAACCTGGATGGCATGGTGGGGGTCCGGGTGCTGGAAGGTGAGTGAGCCTGTTTCCCTGGCTGGACACTAGGAAGCTAAGTCTCAGCTTTGTCCTCCACCCTGCTCTATATGCCTGAGACTTGGCACTGGCCCCAGAATAATCTGTCTCAACTATAAGGAGAGAGGAAGTCGGGGGCTGGCTTTTCCTGGGGGCTGTGGCCCAGCTGTTATGACATTTTTTAGAAGCAGGAAAGATTTAAAGGCAACATGGGGAAGGATTTGGAAATTATCATTTTCTGAGAAGGAAACAATCCATTTGACAGTCCCTCCTGACACACTACAAACAAGGGGAGTAGAGAGAGTGCCCCATAAATGGATATTTGTGGGACGGTCCCCCCGCTTGAGTGAGGTGGCTGTGGACAAAACTGACGACCCTCAAGATCAGGTTCCAGCCCCGTTTCCTCCACTTCCATCCAAAGCCTCCTAAAGGTTCTGCAAAAACAGTCAAGTGTTTGTTTAGCTTTCAGAGATATAAGATCCCCAAGAAGGGGGCTGGAGACAGGCCAAGGCAAACACACACATGCGCACATCTCACACACACACACACAAGCACTTCACACACACAGGCATGCATGCACACACGTACACACACAGGCACATCACACACACACAAGCATGTATGCACACACATACACATACATCACAGACACACAAACACGCATGCATGCACACACACATCACACACACAAGCATGCATGCACGCACATCACACACACAAGCACACATGCATGCACGAATGCACACACACACACCATGAGTTGCTGTGGGCCCCTCCTTGCAGGCCATCCTGAGCAAAGTGACAAAGACCCCGGGTTGGTATCAGCAGGGCTCCGGGCTGGCCCCAGCTCCCAGGCCAGGCAGTGGGCATCGCCCCACACCACCCTCTTTGTGTTGCCAGAGTAGTTTTCCACCTGGCCGGGACTCAGAAGTGGCACGAGAGGCACTGGGATAGTCTGCTTCCTCGCAGCCACATGCCCCCACCAAGTGTCCTCTCCCCACCCCTCGTCCCCCACGTGGCATCCTGGAGAACCCCGAGATCATGCTCCCTCCCCTCCTGGCCAGGACTAGGGTGAGGCCAGAGATATACCCGGGGTCCCCTTCATTTAACCCAGCCCTGTCGCATAGCTCCTCTAGAAATTCATCAGCATCCTCATCCCCCAGACTGGAGTGCAGTGGCACCATCACAGTCCCCTGTAGCCTCCAGCTGCTGGCTCAAGTGACCCTCCCACCTCAGCCTTCCGAGTAGCTAGGATTACAGGCATGCGTCACCACACCTAGCTAATTTTTAAAATTTTTGTAGAGATAGAGTCTTGCTATGTTGCCCAGGCTGATCTCAAATTTCTGCCCTCAAGCAATCCTCCTGCCTTGGCTTCCTAAAGTGCTGAGATTAGAGGGGTGAGCCACTGTGCCCAACCTAATGTCTCTAATGGAGGAAGGGGCCCACCAAGGCTGAGATGTGGCCTTGCAAATTGGGTTCTCCCTGGGCACCTGCCATGGGTAATTGACCGTACAGGTTGGAGAGGAGTGATTTGTTTTCCTCATTCCATAGGCGAGTTCACTTAGTATCTGCTCCACGTGGGCACAACCCAGGCGCATTGCGTGGGTACTTCAGTGCCCTCTCCCCGTCATCCCTGAGGTTCCACCCATTGTTATTATCCTCTTTTATCAATGAAGGGAGGGGGTTCTCTTAATCATGACTGAGTAGCGTTCACTGGGAAAGCCACACCACCCTGACCTCAGACCAGGGTCCTCTCTCCTTGCAGTCACAGTGAGCCCAGCTTTTCCACCCATGCCTGTTCCACAACCACTGTCCCTTCCCCTTGCAATAGTCTTGCTGCATAACAGATTCCCCAGGAATTCAGCTGCTTAACACAACCACAACAGTGAACTCTGCGTAAAGAGAGCAAAGGCGGTGCCAGTGCCTAGAACAGGGCTTCAGAACCGGTCTGCCCAGGTTCCAATCCTGGATCTCCCCCAGCTGGCTGCATGGCACTGAGTTATCTGCTCTGGTGGAGTTTGGGTTTCCTCATCCTTCAGCTGGTGGATGGGAGTATCACGTGATCATGCACATATATCACATGAGATTATGTGTCTGTGTCATCTTACCCGCGGGGCTCAGTACTTGTCAGCCATTACCGTTTCTATCTGTCCAAGCATTGAGCACCCTTGACTGACGGCAACGGCCTCCTCGTCTGTCTCTCTCTAAACAATAAGCTCTCCGTGGGTAGGGTCGACGTCCCATTGCAGCGGTCTCCAACCTTTTTGACACCAGGGACTGGTTTTGTAAAAGGCAATTTTTCCATGGACCTGAGGGGAAGGTTTTGGGATGATTCAAGTACATGACATTTATTGTGCACTTTATTTTTTATTTTTAATTTTTGTTTATTTTGAGACAGAGTCTCGCTCTGTCACCCAGGCCCCAGTGCAGGCGCCGCCTCAGCTCACTGCAACCTCCAGCTCCGGGTTCAAGAGATTCTCCTGCTCGGCCTCCCAAATAGCTGGGACTACAGGCGCCCGCCACCACAACCGGCTAATTTTTGTATTTTTGGTAGAGACAGGGTTTTACCATGTTGGCCTGGCTGGGTCTTGAACTCCTGGCCTCAGGAGATCTGCCGGCCTCGGCCTCCCAAAGGGCTGGGATTACAGGTGTGAGATAGCGTGCCCAGCCCACTTTATGTTTATTGTTATGACATTAAAACATATAATTATACAACTCGCCTACAGGGCCACAGCCCCACAGGGTCGTGGGGTATCCCCTATTGCTGTGTTGAGTCGCAGGATCCGAGAAATAAAGAGAAAGGACACAGAAGGACTGGAAATGACAGCTGGGCTCAGTGGGCCACGCCACTTACAAGCAGAGACAGGCGAGGCCCCGAATGTCCAGAATTGTCTGTATTTATTAGGTACGAGACGGGGGAAGGGTCGTGATGAGGTCATCTATAGGCTTAGTGATAGGGCATACGTAATCACGTGAGTACCAAGTGAGGGGGCCGCCCCATTAGGTCAGCTAGTTAGAGAGGTGGGCCATGCGCAGTAGGGGCTGTGCCGTGCACAGTAGTAGAGGGTCGTGTACAAAAAGGGTGTCCACCCCCATTAGGCCACCGAGGCAAGGAGGTGAGCTGTGTGCAACAGATGCCGTGCGCAACAGTTCTTGTCTGGGGGCCGGAGACTTCAAAGGATTCCTGTAGAAGGATGCTGTAACCCAATGCGGTGGGAGCTGACAGTGTGCCCTCCCTAAGGTATCTTATAGGAGGAGGATTCGAGCCAGCACAGTAGCGAGAGAAGCTGACGGGGTACAGCCGCCATGGCACGATTACGCCAGAGGGGTTCGTCTCCCTCGGTTGTTCGGGGGTCTCAGGCCTGAGGCCTACTTCCACGAGAACTGGGTGCAAGGTACGGCCACTCCTTTTCAGGGGCAATAACTCTTGCTCCAAGCCGGCCATGCAGCGGGTACTGAGTGCTGCCGTCTAGGCCCTGGCCTGCCACACAGCGTGTGCCCTTTCAGGCGGGGCGCGACCACTGGGTCTTTGGTTCTTGTCCTGGCCTGGCTGTTGTCCCATGGACTGCATCTGCTCTGTGACTGCTCTAGGCATTCCTCCTACTACAAACTAATATGTGGTTATATAGAAGGATTATATAAATCAGCATTAAATGTGTCGTACAGCTCCGACTACAATCCGTTACATGATTATATAGAAAGATTACATAAAACTAAGTATGGTTATATATATAAGCTAGATATAAGATTATATGGAACTAAGTATGATTATATAGATTATATATATAAGCTAGATATAAGCAAGCAGTAAGTTATACTTCAGGCACTAATTGTGCCTGGGGTCTGCCCAGCTCTCCTTCCTCAGCGCCCATGTGGGGGTTTACCCACACTCGCCATAATATAGAACTAGTGGAAACCCTGAGATTATTTTCCAACAACTAGATAATCCCGTCTAGGGGAATGGGAGACAACGACAGATCACTGGACATTAGATCCTCATAAGGTGTGTGCAACCTAGATCCCTCACATACGCAGTTCACAATAGGGTTCGCAACCCTGTGAGAATCTAACCAGAGCTGAACTGACAGGAGGCGGAGCTCAGGCAGTAACAAGAGCGAGTGACAGGAGTGGCTGTAAATTATAGACCCACCCACTCCTCACCTCCTGCTGTGCAGCCCCATTCATAACAAGCCTAGACCAGTGCTGGACTGAGTGCTGGAGACTCCTGTCATATCGGACTTCGTAGATCCAGTGCAGTCACAGGAGGAGACACTCTGACATACAGGGGACCGCTCCCTGTTGGCATTCCCAAGGCTGTACTTCTCCCCTTCGGGTTTGCCCACGGAGGGGGCTGAGGAGAGGGCGCTTGCAGCATCCTTCTCAACTTAGCCCATCCTCCCCAACAAGGCTCCTACCCGATGGCAGCTGCCCTACCTCGTCCCTCGCCCTCTCAGCCCTGCATGGATGCTCTGGGTCCTGTCTCCCCAGTCAATTTCTGGCCACCTCTGGATCTTCACCATTCTCTCCCACCTCATCAAAGCCACTGCTAGCCCACAGGGTACGCCTGTGGGAATTAGAAGAAGGTACTTCCTTCCTGAAGTCACTTGACAGCCATCTGCTGGGAAATTGTCTTACTACGTACACAAACCCATGATCTGAATGTGTGTTGCCATTGTGCAGTATACAACTTGCTCACCTGTACACAGTGGTTCTCCACCCTACAACCTGAATCCTTCCCTCATTATTCCTCATGCACAGCAGACCCCAAGCCTCCTTAATGCATAGTAATGGCTGAACTTTACTAAGTGCTTTCTCTACACTGTGGATAAGACTAAGTCCTCTCCGCACGTTCGCTCACTCTATCCTCATAACCCCCTCCAAGAAGTAAAGGCTATCCTTATCCCCGTTTTACAGATGAAGAAAGTGAGATGGAGAGAAATTCAGTTACTTTCTCTGGTCATCCAACATGAAAGTATCTGAGTCAGGGATTCAAGGATTTGGACCTCAAGTATCAAGGATTTGAACCCAGGCCCGACTCCAGAAACCAAGCTCGCAGCCACCCCCTTCTACCACTCCGACACCCATTCGCATTGCCAGATCACCCCATTCTGACCTCATTTCCAGTCAGCTCAGCAAATCTTTCCCCGCTGTGTGCTGGAAGAGGCAGAGAGGCTCCCAGGAAGCATGAGACCTTGGAGGATTATTTTTTCCTGTCCCAAGGCAAAAAAAAAAAAAAAGTACCAACTCCAAATGGTAGAATGAATGCACTCTGATCCCTTCCAGAGCAGCTAAAAAGCGTTCAGGAGAAGTGGGCCCAGGAGCCGCTGCTGCAGCCGGTGAGCCTGCGCATGGGGGCACTGGGGGAGAAGCTGGAGGACGCCATCCAGAGGTCCCTCCTCTACCTCAAGCTGAGTGACCCCAAGTACCTAAGAGGTGAGCACCCACAGGGATGTCCCATTCCTTCTGGAATATCGACTCTGGGGATATTGACTTTAATAACCCAGCATGTGCTCTCCCAGGGCAAGGCTGGGCTGAGACACTCTGTCATCAACTTCGACCTGTCTGCCGAGCAAGCCACAGACGAGCCCTGGGGACATGTGGTCATCCTTGACTTCAGAGTCTGATGGCCTCTCCCACTCACACAGAGGGGTGCAGAGTAGGCAGGGTGTCTTCTCTCACGCTTTCAGCACATGCCCGTGCTTGAGGTCCTGGTCCTAGACCAGAGCAGAGGGGCTGGGCAGTGCTGGGCTATCCCAGAGGGGAGAGTGTCTAAAAGGTCATTTGACCCTTTACACAGCAAACAGTAGAGTCCTCTATCACCAAATTATTTTAATACATTACATTAAATGTCAGAAGAAATTCCTGAAGTTGTCCACACTCTATTTTTCTGTATTTTTAGTAGAGACGGGGTTTCACCATGTTGGCCAGGATGGCCTCAATCTCTTAACCTCATGATCTGCCCATCTCGGCCTCCCAAAGTGCTGGGATTACAGGCGTGAGCCACCACACCCGGCCAATTTTTTTTTTTTTTTTTTTGGGGGGGGAGATAGAGTCTCCCTCTGTCACCCAGGCTGGAGTGCAGTGGTGCGATCTCAACTCACTGCAACCTCCACCTCCCTGGTTCAAGTGATTCTCCTGCCTCAGCTTTCTGAGTAGCTGGGATTACAGGTGCCCACCACCTGCTAATTGAGCATCCTTGACTAACAGCAATGGCCTCCTCGTCTGTCTCTCTCTAAACAATGAGCTCTCCGTGGGCAGGGTCAAAGTCCCATTGCAGCGGTCCCCAACATTTTGACACCAGGGACTGGTTTTGTAAAAGGCAGTTTTTCCATGGACCAAGGTAGAGGGGAGGGTTTCAGGATGATTCAAGTACATGACATTTATTGTGCACTGTATTTTTTTATTTTTAATTTTTATTTATTTATTTTGAGACGAAGTCTCGCTCTGTCTCCCAAGCTGGGGAGAGTAGCTAATTTTTCTTCTGCAGCTAATTAGGAGGCAGAGAGACTCCCAGGAAGCATTTTCCTTCATGAATAGTAATGGCTGATTTTTCCTCTATATTTTTTGTAGAGACGGGATTTCACCATGCTGGCCAGGCTGGTTTTGAATTCCTGACATCAGGTGATCCGCCTGCCTCAGTCCCCCAAAGTGCTAGGATTACAGGCGTGAGCCAGCGCGCTCAGCCCCACGCTCTATTTCTCAAAACATTGGGGTTTATCTCTCTCATGCCTTATGACCACTGAGTGTCTCTCTCCTCCCCAGCCCCAAGTGACCCTACACAAGGTCGCATCTTGTAAGCCTGTCTGAGCTGTTCCTTGATGGCAAGGGGGGGCACATATAAGCAGCCCATCATGCTGCTACAACCCCGTCCCCTCTGCTCCCCGCGCCCATCGGATGTGTGGGGTGAGTGTGGAGATAGCCAGGCCATGGTTCGTGCTCACACGGCAGCCCAGCCGCAGGGAACACAGCCCAGGCCTTCCCAGTACAGGCCCACCTTTCCACTGTTGAGATCCGCCACCCTCTCCCAGGCCTGGTCCCTAACACTGTTCCCGCCCATGTCATCCTAAAGATGCCTTATCACTGGGCATCCGTTTTGTAAGAGCTCCACTTTCTCACCCAACCAAAGGAGGCTACAAATATCACCTCCCCACGTGTTCTCTTTTTCTGAGAGACAGTCTTGCTTTCTCTTTTTTTTTTTCAACAGAGTCTCTTGCTCTGTCACCCAGACTGGGGAACAGTGACACGATCTTGACTCACTGCAACCTCTGCCTCCTGGATTCAAGTGATCCTCCTGCCTCAGCCTCTCAGTAGCCAGGACTACAGGCATGTGCCACCACACCAGGCTAATTTTTATATTTTTAGTAGAGATGGGGTTTCGATACATTGGCCAGGCTGGTCTCCAACTCCTGACCTCAAGTGATCTGCCCACCTCAGCCTCCCAAAGGCTGAAACACTCTCTCTACTAAAAATACAAAAAAAAATTAGTGGGGGTGTTGGCACGAGCCTGTAGTCCCAGCTAGTTGGGAGGCTGAGGCAGCAGAATCACTTGAACCCAGGAGGCGGAGGTTGCAGTGAGCCGAGATTGCTCCACCGCACTCTAGCCTAGGAGACACAGCAAGACTCTTTGTCTCAAAAAAAAAAGAGCTGATCATAGCTCACTGCATTCCCCAACTTCTAGACTCAAGCAATCTTCCCGCCTCAGCTGGGACTCCAGATGCACACCACCATACCTGGCTACATTTTTTATTTTTGTAGAGACAGAGTCTTGCTATGTTGCCTAGGCTGGTCTTGAACTCTGGGTCTCAAGCGATCTTCCTTCCTCAGCCTCCCCAAGTGCTGGGATGACAGGTGTGAGCCCTGCGCCTGGGAAACTAACCCTTATCTGGAGCTTCCACGGGACGCAGTGGGTTTAGTCAAAGCTGTCCCAACACTGTTCCTAATGATTAGCGGGAAAAGGGTTTTATAAGCAAAAGGAGCTTTCTTGAGTTTTTCAAACCCAATCTGGGACCAGCAGACAGGGCTCAGAGCCCCGAGCTGCACCTGCCAGTAGGCAGGGCTGCAGGAATGGGTGGGGGCACTAGGGTGGGTGGCCCGCTGCTCCTGGGTCGCCCCCACACCACACCCAGCCTCACCTACCTATCCTCTCTGCCAGAGTTCCTGCCGACCCTGCAGCCCGGGTTTTGGAAGCTCCCACGTGCCTGGACCCACACCAATGCCTCCTTGGTCTACCCCACGCTCCAGCCCCAGGACTCGTTCTCGGAGGACAGCAGCGACATGTGCCTGGTGCAGCTGCTGGGAACCGGGTGGGCCCTGAACCCGCCCTGTCTGCCAGAAACACAAACACACCCCGCTGGTCCCGTCCCACTCGTTCTTCTCCAAGCCGCCAGGCTGAAGCCAAGGCTTTGTGCAGATCCGGGCACAGCTCCCTGAAGCTGCCGGGCACTGCCCTCTCCCACGCCAGCGGGGTCCCCCTTGCTCCAGCCGCCCACTAGTCTCCCATGCCACAGCGGGTCTTCCAGCAGCCATGGCTGAACACACCACCTCCAGGTCCCCAGACAAAGCCCCAGTTCTTCTCCGCCCTTCCAAGTCCACAGCCCCCTAGAGGCTGCTTTTCAGACTCTCCAAGGCTCCCTCCCATTTAAAGACTTTGCTCCCCCTACCCACCCACTAGGCCTCAGGAAGTCTGCCCTACCTCCAAACCCCATCCTACCTCTGACCCCAGCACACAGCAGACCTCCTGTGAGGGCCTCTCCGGCACCTTGTATAGCCACAGATGCAATTTGCATTTGGACTGTGGGCTTGTCCCCATCCCCAGTGAGCTTGCAGGTCCGGGAAGGCAGGACCGAGCCTAGCTGGGCTCCTCATTTTATCCGGGTGCTGAGTGGGCCTGAAGCAAGGCCCCAGGGCAGCCCTGGGTGCAGGTGCCTGTGGACAAAGTGGGCAGCAGGTGCCCGGGACGCATCCTCTCAGCTTCCTTCAGAGCAATGCTTGGGCTGGGACACAGATGGGCTCACAGAGGGCTTGGCCCCAGCCAGGGACCCTGCTTTTTTTTTTTTTTTTTTGAGAAGGAGCCTCGCTCTGTTGCCAGGCTGGGGTGTAGTGGGAAGATCTCGGCTTACTGCAGCCTCGACCTCCCAGGTTCAAGTGATTCTCCTGCCTCAGCCTCCCAAGTAGCTGGGACTACAGGCTCCAGCCACCACGGCTGGCTAATTTTTGTAGTTTTAGTAGAGACAGGGTTTTACCATGTTGGCCAGGATGGTCTAGATCTCTTGACCTTGTGATCCACCCACCTCAGCCTCCCAAAATGCTGGGATTATAGGCATGAGCCACCTCACC